CTTGGTTGAGATCCTAGAGGAAGCCTGTGGTACGCAACCTCACGCTCCGCACAACATCTCGTACACGCGGGATTGCCAATCAGAGTAAGTGGGGTGCGGATGAGGATTTTAGGCAGGGATTGAACTCCCAAGATGAAACTGGGGTTCTCGCCTTAGATCTGAGGGTTCTTCCGGAACACTGGCCGACAAGCGCAATTTCAAAATTGCAGACCTCAAATGACGAAGATATTAAGGACCTCCGCAAAACCCTGCTTCTTGAATTAGGAACAAACGAGCAAAATCCAATCCTGCCCCGGAATTAAATACAAAAATTGCACAAAGAAAATGAAACAAGTGTCTGGCTATGTATCACCCGGCGGTCGAGGACGGCCAGAGGGCGCAACCCCGCGGTCACGGCCGCGCGGTTGCAGACCGTGCGAACACCGTGGCGGCCAGGTGGAGAGAGATGGTTAACAACATATGTTATTTATATGTTACTTTCAGGTGCTGCAAACAGATGTTGGGTACTTGGATGGGGGGATTTGGAACCAGTTTCAGAAGCTTCAACTACTTCAAGTCGTTATAGCAGTTTCAGGTCCCGACCTGAAACTCGTGAAATGACTTGACGTGGCTGAAAATTTGAAAGCAGTTTCAAGTCCCCTCATCCAAATGGTTGGATAGGCTTTAAGAAGCTTCATTCCACTTCATGCCACTTAGTCTACAGTTGTTTCAGGTCCCCACCTGAAATTCCTGAAATGACGTGAAGTGGTGAAAATCTGAAAGCAATTTCAGGTCCCCCTATCCAAATGTTTAGATCGGGGTACCTGAAACCCCATTCAGGAGCTTCAGCCACTTCAGGTCATTACATCGGTTTCAGGTCCCCACCTGGAACTCCTGAAAAATTGTGAAAACACCTGAAGTGGCTGAAAATTTTAAAGTGGTTTCCGATGCCCCCGTCCAACCATTTAGATGGGCGGACCTGAAACCGCTTTTAGAAGGTTTGGCCACTTCAGGTCATATCATGTGACACACAACAATGTTAAACCAGAACAAAAACAGACAAAATAAAAATAAAAATAAAAAAATAAAAGTGTACTCTCACACCACCCGAAACTCTTGAAATGATCTGAAGTGTTATCATGCCATTTCAGCGGTTTCAAACCACTTCATAATCTTTCATTATGAAATTTCAGATTGTCGTTAAACCACTGGTACCCCCGAAACAGCCTTCCCAGACCTTGGTTTCAACAAGCTACCGAACCTCTTTGCCTTTCGGGAATGTGGTTGGAAAGTGGTAGTGACATGGTGGGCGACTGGTCCTTCAATGTTGGCGACCAGTATTTTTGTCCCAATTATTTTCCTGTTTTTTTCCGTCCTTCTTTGTCGTTGTTTTTTTTTCTTTTTTTATTCTTTATTCCTTTCATTTTCTTTTCTCTCATTGGGCGGGTAGTACTCCAAAGGTGTCGTCCAAGGCGCTTGGCGTTGGAGAGCTGTTAGAGCATGACTGCCAGAAGTCTTCATTCTCATGGAGGGCCATGCTGCTCTTCGCTGTATAATTTTGTGCTCCAAGGGGAGATTCATTATCGTTTCACCATTCTCGAAACTTGTACAGAGAGGCAGATCGCAGATCTTGTATGACGAGGCCGTCGAGGGCCCTCGCTCCATCACTCAACGCTAAGCACAAACGACAAAAGTCGTGGCACTGTATCTCTTTTTTTTCTTGTTTCTTTGGACCTCTCTGCGCCATTTACGATATGCACAAAAGACCAAAAATGTAGCGGTGTATCTGCCCACGTTCTAGTTGAAGATTCATCCTCATTTTGCACATTTGGTGAGAGTGGAGCCACACCCTTTTTGGTCACTAGACTCACTTCTATCGAAATTCGCAAAATGAGAATGAATCTTCCGCTACAAGATGGTACTATACACCTTCAATTTTTTTGTCCTTTGTGCCTGTAAAGAGCAGTGGAGCAAGGCTGAATTTCTAGATTTATGTGTGTCATCCTTGCACAGGGCAGCAAGGCCCCAGGCGAATCTCGTAGGAAGAGATTCCCGCACGAAGGACAAAAATCAATGCGTTGAACATCTGTTTTTTTCTCTTCTTTTTTGTTTACCATTTCTTTCTTCATCCGTCATTCTTCGAGGAGGTTTGTTGTGAATGACAACAAAATCCAAAGACAACCAACCAAACTCCGCCAAATTGCACCACTTCAGTAACATAATGCAGAGTAAACAAAGAGAAAGAACGACAGCCCGAAAAACAGAAACAGATATTAAGAAGAAGAAGAAGTAGAAGGAAAAATGGATAACATGGGGCAAAAGAAGAAGAAAAACCACGCAGAATGGTGAAAAAAACTCCAAAACGTAACTCATTGCAAGAACACAGTGAAGCACAGGATGAGTACGTCAAACCGTGGCGCGATCCGACGGGTTTTGGCTGGTCGCCACACCAACCATCCTCCAGTCTAGGGAATATTCATTGCAGGGACACAATGATCTTATCTGTATTCTTCCCTGTTCTACAGAAGATTAGTTCTCATTTTCCACTTTCGGATTGCACTTCGGGAAGTACAGCAAAGAGGACGACAGTCAAAAGCCGCACCATTTTGGGAGGAGCAGCACACCAGTCGCACCGTTATCAGAGGCAAAACTTTTTTTTTTCCATAAGGTTGCTTTTGTTTTCTCTTTTTTTTTTCGTTGTTTTTTCAGTCTTGTCTTCTCTGGTCACTCTTTTCCGTTTTCAAAACCCCCGACTGCCGAGGCTGGATGTTACATGCAGCGCGTGCACACACGGGCCATTTTGCAGGCCCGACGACCATTTTGGAGGCCCAACAGCGTTCAGTCCAAAAACCTGAACTTCAGACCGAAAGCCTGAAATCCAGGGCTTACAGGCCCCCTGTCGGTTCAGGCCAAAAGCCTGAAGTCCAAGGCCTATCCCTGGTCGTTTCAGACTTAAAATGGCAACAGCCTTTTTAGCCTGAAACGAAGGGTCATTTTCGGTCGTTCATCAGAACGACCGGCCCTGAAACTCAGGCACCGAACCAGGGTTTCGGAAACAGACTAATAAAACAGACTATTATTAGTCTGTTTCCCACGCCAGCCTCAAGCAGGCTGCTGCACGCACACCCCTGGCACGTTTCGGCATTGGCAAGAGCTGCCTCCTCGGCCTGACTGCCCTCCAGTAGTCAGGAGGCAGGCGAGGTAGTACATTGGACTTCCCAGGCACTTCCG